ATATATGCGTATATTTATGAGAACAGATGGAGGTATTTGATCTGAATTATAGCCACTTTGTTTTTACGCCCATAGTGATACATCGCTATATGTGTTTCCACAATTTAAATGGGTTTTATAGTAACTTGTCTTATTTTCTTCGGGTTACAGGGGCAGGCACACACCGTAGAGGGATTGATACAAGACCTAAATGGAGCAACGGCTGCTTCTGATTGGTCCGTGGATACCGCTGACCAATTGAAAACGCTGAAAGTTCTGAGAATTGCTCTTGCCACTGGGGCGTTAACATGGCTGGAGTCATTTCACACATCGGATGGATTGGCAGCTCTATGCAGCGCAACGTGCAAGGAGATTGCCATGTTTCCAAAGAGGTGTGTGGGGGTTTAGCAGCTGTCTTAAACTCGGTTTTTACCACGTGTGGCGTTTTCCACCCACAGCATTTATCTACCTGAGATCGGCACCGAACGAATTGCGAGCTCATACTCGTCTCCTACCACACACCCATCCTCATTCTTCTCGTTATGGTCATGTATCTATTTTTAGATCAGCCCAGAATGGATCACCCGTGCTACAGGAGTGTGCACTCTCTCTGACCGCGTACATGGACTTCAAGGAAGGGTTCAAAAGTGTACTCAAGAGTAGCGAGTGCCTGCAGTTATTGGTCAAGCTATTGAATATTCCTGACCCGAAGGTGGCTCAGAACACGTGTGAGCTTCTCACTGTGGTATGTATTTGAAGTGTACTTATCTCTAGCAAGTTATACATGCATGTTAAGACACTTGTATGATGTAAATATATTTACGGTGTGAATATATATATATATACATATATATAGCTTTTTTTGTGTTGTCAATCTGGCGCATGAAGTAATGTTGTATCCGAAATTGTCAATAAATTATAAAGCAGAGGTGTATTACGGTAATTTGTATGATTGACAATGACATTCACGCGCCTGTCTCTGTACTGATACGAGCGCCTTACACATCCCCAATTAGTGCGGGTGTTAAACAAGGGAGCAGCACGCGATCACATCTTATTCGATTACAAATCTCCAAAAAAAAAACAGCCCCCCATTGCAACTCATACTTAAAGCCACTATGTATGTATTAATTTCTATTTATAGATCTTGTATGCACGTACCGGACACCTGCAAGTGATGCGAGCGTTCACCAAAGCAGTGCCACACGGACGCAACCGCTTCAGATCACTTGTTGCGCAGATGGCCTCAAAGCCAACAGCTGCCTTGATGGTATGTGGCCTATAAACCACGCCTTTGTAGGCATATATAAATACTTGTACCTATGAGAGGTGTGAACCCTTACATTTACGCGTGCACACTGGTTGTATCACATGGTGATATATATATTTATATATATATATATATGTGTGTGTAAGTAAGTATGTATGTATGTATGCATGTATGTATGTATGTATATATAGATATATATGTATATATATATA